AGGGGATGGCACCAGCCACACAGCTGGACAGCAAGAAACCACCACAGCAAGGGGCCCTGTGAGTCCAGAAACTTCTGGGAGTCCCACGGCCTCCCAGGCACATCTCCTTGTGCAGTAAGGACGTAAGACTGATTACTTCAGGGGTTTTAAAACAGATTCAACTTTGGTTCACATTCATTTTAATGAGGGTAAGAACATTTTTGTACTCCTAGACTTTGATCCACTGGTTGCATGGCACAGTGCCACCAACAGTAAGAACGCAAAGCAAAGGTACTTGACCTTCTACAGAAACGTGCAAACGTTAGTACTTTGGTAAATCAGATCCCTTCCTGTATCTTGTGGTGCATTTTGTAATGAGGAGGGACAAGAAGACCCTGACTACATACTACAGTCATTTATCCCCATCTGAGGTGAAGTCATACGTTGTAATGATATTTCTAGCACCCTGCCTTACTTGTTCCTCCCACACCAGGGTACACTTTGAGCTGTGCAGGGAACTTGTATTGCAACAGCACACAGTTAATCACTGAAGCTGCAACTGTATTTAGGAGTGAAATTGAGCTATGACTTAATGGCAAAGTCACAATAAAAGCCTTTCATCAAATCCACATTAATTTTTAGGCATTCAGATCCAATACTGCCCAAAGAACTGACTGAAACCCACACTTAACTTGGCATCATCAATGGCTGCTTGACATCTGCATCAGAGAACCATGAGACTTTCACTAAGTTCTTACCTAAAGGTTACTGAAAGCCTGAAACCTCAGACCCATCAGACACAGAAAATATGAACTTATGTCATCCCAATTATATTATTCCACAGCCACTGGATTTGTTACTTAACAGAGGAGAAAAGCAAGAAACAAATGCTGTTGAAAGCTCAGTGAAATTGTGCTTAAGTAAGTTTCAGGAAAGGAACGAAGTTTTACTAAAAATATACTCCAAACTGCCACTAAAACATCCCTACACTGCTCTGCTTGTGCAACTTTTACAAATTAATAGCAAGGATGCAGTATACAAATACTTGGGTTTATTATTTAGCACCATCTTCTAATCTCTGTGTCAAAATAAGACAATTAGTAGAAATGAAAAAAGACTCAAGGGAATTTATGTAATGTCTCAATTGTCATTAAAAGCTTTAAAAAAACCCCACTATTTATTCTAAATACAGAATATGAATGTTTAGTGCTTCCTTATTAGATCTGTCATGTAAATGAGAAGGCTCAACAAACCACAATTCCCACTGAAAAAGGCACAATATCCTGGTGCAGGACTTCACACACTGGTCTCTCACTGCCTGCTAAGCCTTAACTGCAGCTGAAGAAGCTGTTATGGTCAGGCCAGCTTCAGCTTTATGCCTGAACAGATGAGAAGGCTGCTTCCAGAAACCAAAGCTATAGATTTCAATCTCACTTTTGTTATTTTTAAATCTGTCCAGGGAAAATAAAGGGTTGGCATGAGCTTTACGTAGTCTAATTAAGCTTGTTTTACATGGTCTAATTCTCTTTCAGAGCCCTGCAACCTGAAATTGCTTCAAACTTGTAATTCTCCTGTTAAGAACACTGGCAAACACTGAAAAGAAAATGGTCACAAAACAGGCAGTGGAAAGACTGAGCCCTGCTCATCTTGTCCCGACACAGCATCACAGGGTTACAGACAGGGATACCAAACTGAATTTTCCCACTGCAAGTGTCCTACCACATGCCTGGCATACACATTGTCTGGACACATCGCAGAGGACACCAGCCCAGTGTTCTTGCTGGGGAGTGAGGAGGTGAGTTAAAAAGTAGGGATCTTTCCCACTTTCCCAGGAATGCACTCCCTGAATGAAGTAAGTTAAAATTACTGAGGCACGCTTTCACTGCTGAGCGAAGAACAGCCTGTTGGTATTTCTTCCACTGAAGCTTTAGCTTGAATTTAACCCTTGTAGAGACACAAGAAACCCTTAATGCAAACTGTGAAAAAGCATAAAATAGATGATATTTTTTAGAAGGACTGAAAATCACATTTGACAAAAAATGAATCATTTACATAAAGAAAAGTATTTCAGCTAACAAAATGATACTGCTTTTAAGGATCATACTCTGGGACAATATTGGCTTGTCCTTTGGTATGTAAAGCTAAGAGCAATAGTAAGGATTTGCATCTAAAATACTAAGGAAGTATAAAGAAGTGTATTCTCCATGCTCACACCTATATCTAAATGAAGACTCTTTTCCTTGGTCTTGCTCTCAGAGAACCTCAGCGAGTTCCAGAATGAGACAAAGTGGGTACCTCAAAAGTGAGATTCTGTAGGGCATACAGCAATGCTTTAGAATGTTCAGTCCTGTGCTCTCCTGTCAAATAGTATCATTTGGGATTTCCAGATATTAGAAGATGTAAAAGTCTGAGTATGGACTAATTAGAAGTATTCTTACCAGTACAAAATGTGCACTTGAGCCCAAGCTACTCACAGACCGTCACTACATCTTTCAAACTTCGGCAAGAAACTTCCAACAGCTAATGAAAACGTGTTATCTAATACAGGAATTCAAGTTGTCCATTAGCTGTGGGGTTACGTTCTATATGGAAAAACCTTGCTCCTGACAAGAATCACCCACTGGCAAATGTTTAATGTACTCCAGAGGCAAGACAGCAATAGAACTCAAAGCCAGTAGTTTAAATATCTGGAAGGCTTAACTATAACACAACATACAGCAAAGATAAACAACAATCAAACTACCAGTTTTGCTACTGTGCCACTTTACAAAGAGCACCCATCAGGAGCTGCACCTTCCCCCACCCCCCATTTTTGCTTGTTTTTGAATTTACAAAATACAACTACCCTTGCAAGAGGAAATGACTTAGGACACAGAATGAAGCAGAAATCTCATTTAGTTTAAGGCTAGTTTTACTTGTTTATATTCTGCCCATTTCTAGCTTTGATGCCTGCATTTTTCCACAGCAGAATGGTAATTACCTTATGCTCATAAGTGTATTAAAACACAATGCCAAAAAATGGACCATCTCTGTCACTTGGTTCTCTTGCTTTGCAAATATATGATTATTAACTCTCATAAAAATAAAGCAAAAGAGATGATATCTTCCTGGCATAAGTCAACTTCTATAAAATCTGGGCTGGTGATGAAATATACCATCTGCCTGTTCTTCGGTATGCTGGCCTTTGCCTTCCTGTAGTAAGTTTGCCAAAGCAAAGCCCTCATTTGACCTACCATGCCACTCAGTATCCTGCAGGATACAGTTCTGCACTGAACAGAAAGGATAATGTTGATGAAAGTTGTAGATCTGCTTTACTTAACATTCTTCTGCCCTTACTAGCTTGGGCAAACTTTATTACCACTCAAAACCACCAAATAACTGAGAAGTCTCCTGGGTGAAAGAAATTATCAGAGGAACAAATGATTTTGTTATGGATATATAATCATAACTAATGATAACATCCATTAAGGGAGAAAAATTCCATTAACGAACTCTAGTTCTGTTTTCAGTATTGACATTCCCATTTCTTCTTCCACTAAGGAACATGTTTTCCCAATTCATGCAATAAGCCACAGACGCCAAACCCGTAAGCTATAGCATATTATCTCCTGTACTGCAGAAAACAATTCTGCCAATTGGCATCTCCAGTATGGAGTTCAGGGAGCAGAGAAAAAAAAGCAGACAATAATTTGATTGTATCATCACCAAAATTAATTGCAAGTCGCTGACTGTCTGTGGGTAAAGAAACAATAGTCCACCATCTGCAAGCTTGGGGCTGGCAGTCTCCAAGGATATGGGAAATATGATTGGGAAGGTGAAGACTGTTTGCTGGCTATTTGCTTTATAAAATTTCTCAAAAATGCTTTTAAACTGGATGTTTTTAACATGTATGGTAGACTAGTGTCCTGGGTTCAGCTATAGCAGTCATTTTTTCTCCTTCTTAGTAGCTGGTGCAGTGCTGTGTTTTTGACTTTCAGTCTGGGAACAATGCTGATAACACCGATGTTTTTAGTTGTTGCTCAGTAATGTTTACTCTGACCAAGGACTTTTCTCAGTCTCATGCTTTGCCAGAGAGGAGGGGAAGCCAGGAGGAAGCAGAGACAGGACACCTGACCCAAACTGGCCAAAGGGGTATTCCATACCACAGCACGTCATGCCCAGTATAGAAACTGGGGGGAGTTACCCAGAAGGCCCAGATCGCTGCTCGGGTCGGGCTGGGTATCGGTCGGCGGGTGGTGAGCGGTTGTGTCCTTTTCCCTTGTTATTCCTCTTATCATTATTATTGGCAGCAGCAGTGGGTTGTTTTATA